GAAGGGTGTAGTTCTCTTCTGAAGGTACAGTGATAGTATAGATGGGTCTGGTCTTTCCTCTTAGAATCCAGTGAAGAAAGACTGTGGTGTTCTGAGTCTCTGATGATATCCAGGTAGAAATGCTTGGCTCCTTGTTGTAGTTCGTTTATTTAATTTTGTTAAGAATTTTTTAAAACTTGTTAGTATGTTCTTGTTTCCCCCTGTTGATTGTAATGGTTTAGCCCCAGTTGTCTGTTATATAAACCCCTCCCAGTTTTCCTGAATGTTCCCTGTCAATCACCTTTACTCTTCCCCATCTCTCCATCCATCCCTGTAAACCCCACCTCTCCTTCCAGCTCCTTCCATGTACATCATCACTTCCTCAGAACACTATTGGTTGTTATGTTGTATTCCCGCCTTCTTTGTATCCCCATTGGTCCCTGACATTGTAACCTCCTCCCCTTACCCCTCCCTCCATGAGCTCCCATTGGACCCTGGACTGTGCCCACCCCTAAGATAAAACTCAGTGCACAGAGGTGCTCTGGGCTTTCTTCGGTCCTGATTTCTCCCGAGCCAGACCCTTGTGCTCATCCCCTCTCCCAAATAAACCTGTTCCTGGGAAGTACAGCCGAGTGAGTCTCCTCCTACCTTTTGCCACCACCCACGACTCCTGATTTGGCAGAGCCCGGCAGGATTCGGTGCTCTGAAGGTTCTGCAGTGGGATCGCCTTTCCCCTGCAGTTCCCCACTCCTGGCAACTGCCCGTGCTGGAGTGGCCCCGTAGAGCTAGCCCGGAGCTCCGGTGCGGCCAAGAGCAGCGTCAGCTCCTCCCTCTGGGTGGTGCATCTCACAGTGGGATGATTTACATGATCAGTCATGCAGTGAGACTCAATGGCCCATTAACAGAAGATATACTGATGAAGGGACATGGGTAGTGGAAGAGAAAGAACACTGCCCCAACTGGTTTTAACAGCTGGTCTGTTAACAGAAGATATCCCCCACTTACGAGGGATGTGTCATAAAAGAGGTGAAGATCACTGCCCCACCTGGTTTTAACAGATGGTAATAAAATACATACTTTCGGTTCCACCTTCAATGCTAGTTTCCTGTCAGAACGTGTGTTTTGGCATTGCAAGATCCTGAAACTGTTTAATCTGAAGCAGAAAAACTGTAAAATTAAGAGAGCAATTATATACAGCCCAGAGCCCCAAGCAGCTGAAATGACAACAAAGTTTCATCTGTTTATTAGGTGAGCTCTATTTAGGATAAAATATTAGCAATTTATGAAGAGTAGAATAGGACTTTGCAATTGAATATCTGTCAGTTAAATTTGAAAATCTTAATATGACATTCTTTTAAAAGTCAAATAACAGCTATTAAAACTCCAGATTTAGTAAATGAGAACAGGCTGTACTCAGGGTATACACTGAAGTAAAACTGGTGTATGACCAGTTACCTGGGAGTGGGAGAGGATCTCCTTGTAGACAGAGAAAAAAAATGAGGAATTGAAACAGCCTAATAGTCTTCAAAGAAAATTACTATGTAAAGATGGCTACAGTTGTCAAGGTAACTTTGCCTTCATTTGGAGTGTTCCAAATATGGACTCTGAAATCCCGTCTTTGCCTGAAGCTCCCCCTCTTCCTCCACCCCAAAAAAGACCCCAGATCCAACCCAAAACCAAAGAACAACCCACACAGATTTCTTTAGATAATTTCTATTTTTCCATAGAAAAACCTTGGGTAAAAACAGCTGAGAATTGACATTCTTTCCAAGAGGAAAATATTTAGATATTTTAGATATCTATTGAGATATTTCCAGCCAATATTTAGAACAGATACTTCTGTCTGTAACTTGTTCTTGGTAGTTAGTGATTAAGGCCTAGTGTTTAACAGGGTGGATTTGGGATCCTGCTTGGAGTATGCAGAGAAGAAAAACAGACATTGACAATCATTAATGTAGAAGCAACTTCTGAGCTCTTTAGTTTCAATAGTATCCTTTTGTTCTCTGTTTGCATACCACTCAGCTCTTGTACGATCTTGGTGCACTCACTGGGATAAGTCACTAAAAACATCTTTCTTTAGGCTTGAAGATAAGTGTGGAGAAGAGCACAAATCCTTTAGCTGACTCTATTGAAGAGGGTGGCAGGGCAGCCTGGGTGAGTGGGATTTGCTGTTCCTTTCCTTCAGAGTGCCTGCTTGACTTGTCCTGCTGAGTGGCCTTTTCTGTTATATTGCATTTTCACCTGCAGATTGAATGCTGAGAGTGACAGCCTGGTGCTGCTGTGTTTACTGACACATGGATCTTGAAGCTGTGCCCTCACAGGACCCATTGCTTTCCAGAGCAAAAACCATCTTTTGGTGTGTGTAAACGTCTGCATGTTTACGACATCAGCAGCAAGGGCACAGGGTTTGTGATCAGCACCCTAAAGTTAGACAGCAGTAACATCAGTATTTTCTTTCTCCATGCCTGTGGGCTAGGCATGAATGTTTTAAATGGTTTGTATGCCACAATATAATCTTCACTGAAGCTGCCTCAGATTTTCTTATTTGGTCACAGTAATACTGACCATAATCCTTGTTTATAATGATAATGCAAACAACAGGACAATCTTGTACTTAAAGCCTGAAGTTCAGCTTTCTGACTTATAGTACAGGAATATGAATAATTTTTTTTTTTTCACTGTGTCTTGCAGTACCTAAAATGAAAGCTCTGCAGGGCAGATGTTGTATCTTAGTGTGTGCCTATGTGGTACCTAGGATATTCTCTGATCTCAGCTGAGCCATCAAAGTGAAGCTTTATCACCTGTAATGTCAAAGAACAGATGTAGCTCAGTTTTTTCTGGGCTATAAGAAGGGTTTATATCCTTCCTGTGGTGCCACACTTGAAAATCAATATGGAAAAGCTGTTGATTTTGAGCAATTTAATAATGTACAAAATTTGTTACAATCCTTATGTTAAATGATGGTTTCTGTGGTTTTCTTGTATCTTTGTGCTGGTAGTGCATGACAGTATAAAACTTTTCTGAACAAACTCCTTACATTTTTACATTGGTTCCAGAAATTCTTTGCCATGATACTTGTCACCGGTTGAGCTTAATTTCCAGAGACCACACTTGGCAGAGACTGTTACCTATCCTTTTTTTGCTGGACCTGCTGTGATATATCTTGTAGAGTTCCTTATATAATACAAAGCAGGACTGTAACACAGGCTGCTGAATGCCTGTCACAGGGATGTGATTCTGATTTCCAGAGCAGATCAAATAGTCCACTGTTGGATGGTTAAAAAGATACTGATTAAAAAAAGGCATCTATATGTATGAAGCTGTGCTTGGGCAAATAAGAAAAATTATGGGTAGTTATGATGCAAAATATTATGATGCATTGTATTAAGGAATTCCAGGATCTCTATTCACATTGACAGAATGAAGTCAATTATAAATTTTCTTTGATAGAATCATTGATAGGTGTAAGACTACACAGACATGGAAAAATAATTTTTTTCTGTAGAAAGGATGTATCCTTTCTAAAAATTCTCTTCACTGTCTCAGACCTAGTTTGCAGATAATGCTTTGATTCTTTCTGATGTGCACTTTAGGGTAAGATGAACGTGTAAAAAAATGTTTCTCTCCAGGAGCTATAAAGTCATACTGGACAAGTAACATGAAAAGAGAAATCCCCACCTGCAATCCAAGTTTGGTTCCTCTCCCAACTGTCAGGAACATATTATCCTCAGGACTCAGTTGCCCAGAGGCTGGACTGGAGTTGATGAAAAGGTGTTTCTGAGACATCCTTGTCTCTCAGCATTTCCAGGTGCTGTCTTTTGATAGTCCAGCCTTGAGTGTGAAGCTGAGCTGCTTTAGCTGAGTCTCTCTTCCCGGGAAGATGTTACTGCTTAAAGGTGCCAGTGGTACCAAAGTGCCAAAGGACAAATACAGTTGGTGCAAGGGGGAAAGAAATTCCTAGATGCATGCCTGAGTTCTTGACAAGTTCCCCTCTGCCAAGTCACTTTTTTTCATGTTAATATGACTCTCCTGGCATGCATGTTGGTTTTCTTTTTTCGTGGAACACATAAAGCACTGGTGCTTGTCTCCAGTCCTGCAGGTTTGAATGTGCCTGTGATAAATAGTGAAGAAAAACATTCTACTATGAAAAGTGTAGCTCAACAAAAAGTTAAGCTACATTGGCTACTATGTGAACACCAATTGTTTGGAAATGATAAGCATTATTGATATACTAAATGTAGGTATTAGTGGGAACAACGTTAGGTAAAATGTTAGCATCTGTCAAGACAATATAAACAATTATAAGTAACTTTCTTCTAATGATGCAATTAAACCATAACAAAAGGTGCACTGTAAATTAACATGACACCACACCAGGTTTATGTATTTTAGGGCATAAATTCCAGTCCAGCTAAGAAAATAAAGTAAGTTTCCAGAAAATCCCTTCAGAAAAAAAACCAAAACCTCTGCTAAAGCTTTACAGAACAAAGTCTGGGAACTGAGATTGTTATTAAATCTGACCTTGATCAGATTTTTATTATGTCAGAAAAAATGGTTCTTGAGAGACAGAGTTGTCATGGGATTAGAGTACATCTACAGCAAGATGTTTCCATGGCAACAAATAAAACACCATTTCCTAAGTCTGCAGTCATCTGCCTCAAACACATGAACTTAGCATTGAATAATTACAGAGAAATGCTGTAATGTTGTGTAAAGAGAGGGGGGAAAATAAATCAATCTGGAAGCAGTGATTTATTTTAAAATGCCAATTAACCCCATAAGTGTGATTGTTTGGAGCTTCTTTTGGTGGCGACAGGTCCCATATAGGTATTTGGTTTTACAAATTGAAAGCATAATTTTTTTGTCACACATAACCTTAAAAAAAGTGAAAGACGAATCGTAATTCCACCAGAATTAATGAAGTCTGAAAGTTATGTATAAAAGCCGTAATAGAAATTCAGAGTTGTGTCAGAGACTCAAAGCAGCAGCAGTACGTGATACTCTACCTGAATTCTCCTCATGTTTGAAGGATCTGAAAACATACTTGATATGGGTACGTGCTTAGTCTCCTACAACCAATGAGCTATCTAAATTCATAGGCTCCAATGTCACACAGCTGTAATCTTGGTGGAAAGTTAAACCAGTGAACATATCACTACTTAGAACTTGGGGAGTGAGTTAAGGCTATTTAGTTTATCAGTCATTTTCCCATTCTGCCATAATTGTATTACGAATGTGTTGTTCTCCTCCAGAAGCTGCCTGCACCTTCTGAGTTTATCTTCTCTGCAGTGACATCTGGCCCTGTCTCTCTCTCTTCCTCCTTTCCCCAATCCCCAAAATGGAATGTACTCTTTCTGCCCAGTTACTGGGAGGTTCCACAGGTACCTCTGAGACATTTTGTACTGAAGGACCTTTAATGAAAGGACACAGGTTGACTATGGAGGCAGATTTCTTGAGCACTGAATACAAATACCCTCTGCCTGATTCCTACATCTTGGGTGCCTGTTACTCTACAATGTGGAGGCTGAAAGAAGGTGTTAGGAGAAGCCTTGGAAACCATAAGTTTGAGACTCAGTTGTGACACTTTGTCCATGCTGTCGTAATTGCTTACACAACTATCTATCTGACAGATAGACAGCTGATCTCTCTAACAGAAAGGTTTTAGGATGGGCCATTGCTGTGCCTTTATTCCAGGTACTAATAATTTGATTAGTAACAGTCAGTGCATAAAGCCAGTGAAGAGAGAAATGTGCCAATGTTGGATTGTATACTGCAGTAGCAGATCTACTGTCACAAGCTAACACTAAATTGGCCTCTGGCTGCAATATAAATTCTGATGAAAAGTGTAGGTTTTATTTTGCAGCATGAGTGGTCTTAAGAGAAACTGGTGTAGTCTTGAATCTCATCACAGCTGCTGCTTTCTCCTTTCTATTGGTTGATAGGTTCATTCAACTAACCCTGTTTCAGCTACCCTTCCTGCTGGTATGGCCAAAGTAAATTTGGGTGATGTGATGAATCAGTGTTCTGCTCCAGATCAGGTCATTTGATACCTGTGGGCTGTGGGTGAGTACCAGTCAAATTTTCTCAAGAAATGCTCATTTTTATGTGGAAAAAATGCTATAATCAATATTTGTACAGTCTTACTTTGCCTACCTCAAGAGGCTAACTTCTCACTCTAAACCAGAAGCTGTCTCTTATTTTAATTCAAAAGATCTGTAGGGGCATTAGTGTAATTTTAAAATCAGTGAGCCAGAATAAGGTAAATGCTGCAGCTGAAATTTTCATGTAGATTGAAATGATAGGAATCTTTCACTTCTTATGCGTGCACAATTTACAGCCATTAAAAGTGTATTAGTGTCGTAGAAAATGGGAAAATTGTTTGTTCCCTAAAGGTGTAAGGAAAATTATACTCTTCTTGTTCACAATAGGGAATTATTAATAAAGATGGATAAGTGATCCCTCTCTGAAATATATGCTGTTTTTAACATAGCTAAAAATATTGGCAATATTCTGATTTTTTAATGGAACACACTTATAAGTATTTGTATTTTCTTTTCCTCTTTAATTTTTTTACAGTAATAAGTCCATTGATCAAGGAAGTAGCCAAAAATCATTACTGTAGCATCACAGATTTCAGTGAATTTCTCTTCCAGCAGCCTTGTGAGGCGGAATGAAGTCTTTCTGGATTTTACCATTGGAAAATGCTGCCAATTTGAAGAGATGGATATTTTTTTCCAGCAACTTCCTTAATACTTTCACAAATTCCAGGTGGTGCATACCTGCACATGAAAACTCTGGAGTCTAAGACCTTCCCAGCAATAAACCAGCTATATTTAGCAGATAATGGGTTTTAACTAGCCTTTTGCAAGGCTGTGGTTACATTTCTCACTGTTGGCCCAAACTTTTCAATGAGGCCCACACTCTCGGGCAGTGACACACCAGCATCTGGAGGACACTGTGCCACCTGCAGATGGACACCAGGGGAATGTGCAGGCCTTTGCTAGAAGAAATTAACTGTTGAAGTCATTGGTCACTAGGCTTCATCCCCTCCTGATGAAGCAAAGTTACCTGAATGTGAGGAAGATGAGAGTATCACTAGAAGCAATGTGTTGCTGCAGGTATAGCAGAAGAGCCAGGTGGGGGAAGGCTGCTGTGCATCTGAGTTAGCAAAGCCCAGGGGGCCTGTTCTGTGCAGGTCACCTCTGAGTCATTTGCGTCCAGAAATGAGGAGGTGATGTGGCCTCAGTCTGCGCATCACTCGGGTCCATCATGATGGCCTAAGTCTTAATTTAAAATAAACAAAATATGAAAAGCCTTTTCATAAAGGGTTTGTGGGTGGACCGTGGCTCATTAAATGACATAAAACTCTCATAGAAGAACACAAAAGATCTGAGCCATGTCACTTTTCTGGTTTGACTCATATACACCTGCATCATATATAAGTTTCTGTAAATATCACCCTGTTATCTTTGTAACTTTTCTCTAAAAAAATCTTTTTCTCTTTCTCTGATTCTGCTGCATTTCTTCTGTATTTTTCTTATTCTTCCTGGTTTTCTCAGTCTCCTTTGGACTGAATTCCTTTTTGGGATCCTCCCTCATGGGGAGCCCTGCTTATCTCTGTTCTCTGGTTTGAAGAAAACTCCCGAGCTCGCTGGATTCTTGTTTCTCATGTTTATTAGAAGGTCATCACAAAACTTGGCAGGTCTCTCCAGACTAACTGCACAAGTCTAATTCTTTGCAATTTGGTACATTTCTTTCTTCTGATGGTACAAGGCCTTGTGGCTCACCCCATGCCTGATAGCACAAAATGGCTCTGAATTACACAGTGCTTTTATCTTTATTCTTATCCAATTAACAATAGACACATATATTATTTTTGTTAATGATCTAATGACCCATCACCTGTGTGCTGCACTGTGGCATTTTCTATCCAATCACTTACTATTACCCAAAAACCTCTAGAAGAAGAACATGAAGAATAAAGAAGGACAAGAGACAACACCCTAAATCCTCCATCTTGTCTTCTGTTCTCTAAACTAACTTTTTCACCTTAAGAAAACTTTCTAATCTACACACTTACACTTTTAGCTTTTTCTATCTAATTTTAACAGTTGTTTTCATGTATCACTATGAAAACATGCTCATGAATTTCATGTTATATGAAATTCAGTGTATTTCTGGATCTTAGAACTAAGTATCAGAAACAAGGGCACAGACTGTATCCCAGACTCCAACAATCTTTTGCCCACTAGTTGTCAAGTTATGTTTAAGATTTGGGACATGCTTCCAAATGCCTTTCTTTCCTGTCTTTATTTCAACAGTAGAAGTGTGTAGAGTCGCCTGTCCCACAAACAGCTAGATGGATGTGCCATCCTGGTGGATTTTTACAGCAGAGGTGGGTTATATCAACCTGCATAGATTAAAAAGCAAGAAGTAATTAGAGATGGGACTTTCTTGACATGCTCAGGTCAAACTGCATGTCTTTTGCTGTTTGTTTACAAGATGAGTGAGATACACAATCATAATTATGTTTTGAAAATATCTAAATGTTACTTTTTTTTCCCATCCTCACGCTGAATTCGCCACTTTTGTGAGGATATGTCCTCAATGGATGGAAGACATCCATAACCATGACTCACCTGGTCTAAGGAAGGAGACTGCACAGCATGGATCCTGAGACTTCTGGGCAGTGAGTTTCTGTCTGGATGTGGCTGCTGATGTTGGGTGTTGAGCCAATGAAGTTCTGGACAGTGTGGGATTGTGGCTCCTGCTGTGCAGCCAGGTCAGTGACTCACTATGTAGTGAGTCAGAGACCTGTTTTGGAATATGATTTCAGAAGAGCTACCCAGTTTTCAGGGTTTTCCAGTAAGGTCCACGTACCTTCTCCCTGCAGGTTCAGAAATGCTCTAGTTCTCATTCTTCGTAATTGTCAGAGACTCCTTGAGCCAGATGCCAGCAGGAGGGCCCATAGTTATGGGATGAGGACTTCTTGCTATCAGTGCTGGTGCTTCTTGTTCAAATGAGATCATTCTTGAACAAATGATGTGAGGTCAGAGGTCTGAAAAAATTAATCTGGATGAATCAGACTACACACGTGTAACATCCCTGGAACATCTTTCTGTATAATTAAATCTTAGATTTACAGGTTGTATATCCCATGTAAACAATGAGCTGCAGATGAATGCTGGGGCAACCAAACACAAACTGCAAGCAAGGAGCATAATCAGAGTGGTTTTCTCTCTTCAAATAGAAGCTCAGGAGAAAATTTTAGTGTAAGGAGACTGAAAAGTTTGGGCCACTTGAAGAGACTGAAGGGAAACCTCATCATGGTCTCATAAGGGGATGTGGAGGGACAGCTGCTGGTCTCTCTGGTGCCCAGTGAAAGGACCCGAGGGAATGGTATGAAGCTGTGTCAGGGAAGGCTGAGGTTGGGTATTGGGAAAAGATTCTTCACCTACAGTTTGGTTGGGCACTGGAACAGACTCCCTGGGAAAGTGGTTACAGCACCAGCCTGAAAGAGTTCAAGTGTTTGGACAATGCACACGATAGGATTCCTGGGGCTGTGCTGTGCAGACTTGATTATCCCTGTTAGTCTCTTCCAACTCTGGATATTCTATGATTCCATTACTATTAACTGGGATGATCACGAAAGGAAATATAAAAGGGACTATATCGAAATAGGGACTATCCAGACGGATACAGGCGCTGGCTACTCCTGTTTGCCTTTTCTCCAGAAGACACGGGCAGGGAAAGATGCTAGAGTTAAGATTACCTGAGGCTTCCTGGGGTTCCAGACACAGCCCTGCGCCTCGCTGGTCGCATTTACCTGTTCAAGCTGCGACACGCTCCGGCCGCGGCTGCAGCGCGCGGCGGTGGCAGCAGGTGGCGCTGTCTCCCGCCGGTGCTGCTGCGGGGCCGGGCGCGGGCGAGGGCCTGGGGCCGATCTGGGGAGCCGCCGCGGG